GACAGTTAATATTGCCACAACAGTTCCATGTTTAGAATCTTCAGATACACTATTTGTTCTCGACATTATGTTTATTGCAGGTGTGTTATCATTAACGTCAGTCACGTCGATAATAACTTTACAAGAATCCGAATGTCCACCTTGGTCTTTTGCTTGGACATCAATTCGATAAACTTTGTTTTTTTCATAATCCACTTTACCAACTAATATCACGACTCCAGTGGTTTCGTCTACCTTAAACAAATCATATGCACCATCAGAAGAAATGGAAAATGTAATCATGCCATAAGAGCCCAGATCAGCATCAGAAGCACTGACTGTGGTTAAAACAGTGCCCGATGGTGCATTCTCTGCTATACTCGCTCTATATGCTGCTTGACTGCAAACGGGTTCATTGTCGTTGGCGTCAAGAACTGTAATTTGTATCTGCATTGTTCCTGTCAAATGCGGATCTCCACCATCCTTTGCTGTCAGTAAAAGTGTGATATGATCTTGCTTCTCTCTATCTAATGGCTTCTGTAATATCATTTCGACAGCTTTTACACCATCAGGTTGATTGTGCAGTTTTAAAGTAAAAAAATCGTTCGTACTAAGAGTGTAATCTTGAAGATTATTAAGGCCAACATCTAGATCATTCGCTCTCTCTAAGACAAACCGAGCCCCTGTTTTTGCCATTTCATTTATGTCAAACTTAATTTCGTTGTTTTTAAAGACTGGCGCATTATCGTTGATATCTGTAATCTCTACTGTGATCGAGTAAAATTCCATCGGGTTTTCCAGAATAATCTGTAAATGCAGCGCGCAAGGCGTTGTCTGTCCGCATAGCGCCTCTCGGTCTATTCTCTCTTTGATAAGGAGGACTCCTCTTTCTTTATTCAGCTCGATGTATTCAGCACTGTCTCCTGTATAAATACGCGCTTTACCCGATTTCAGTCTCTTTAAATCTAAACCCAAATCCTGCGCTATGTTCCCGACTAAAGAGCCTTTAGCCATTTCTTCAGGAATGGAGTAACTGACCTGCCCGAGAGCTGAACTGAGAGAGAGAAACCAAATAAACAGCAGTACTTGCCGCGCCATTGTTCTGTCCGACATTTTGCAGAAGATCACGGGATGAAGATTAAGACAGAAAGCAAATAAATCAGTCCAAAATGCTGGAGGAAATCATGTATATATCCAGAGTGAAAACAACTGATAAAAAGTGTGTAATCCAAGAGAATTGTATTAATACAGTATCTCCGTGATTCGCCTTCTCTCTCCTCTTCAGACTGCGCTCTCAGCTTCTGTCTCTCTCTCTAATAATATGGAGATGATGGGGGTGGAACTGCAGCAGATCTGCTCTATAAACTGACAGATTGACCAACAGCGGCACTATGAGTCCAGTCTGATGAACTACAGAAACATTTAAATTATTAAACTTTTAGGTGTCAGATATCTGAGAAAAGCAGTTTACTAAACAAAGTTCTAAAGTATAAGAAAGTACATATCAATACATGTCTGTGAAATACAAAGATTGTATGAGTTTGTGGAAATAAAGATTGAAGGGGAAAAATTGGACAAATATATTTTGTGTTTGCTCAAAGTTTTGCTGAGAAATATCAGTATAAGAACACTGATCAGACAGACATGGATAAATACCTAAACAATTATACACATAAGAAATATCCAATCAGAAAGGAAATATATCGTTAAACTTTTGAACAGGAGGAGAGACCAATAAGATGATGAAAAACTCGAAACATTATTAGCTGTAAAGAGATGTAGAAGAATATATGATGTAAATGACCGCGTCGCCGCGATTCAGGACCATGGCCAGGGCAGCAAATACAAACGCTGAATATAGTTTCTCATCTCTTGACAAAAACAAGTGAAAATCACGCAGGGAATTTTTTTTTAAATGGCAAAAAAAGAACTGTGAATGACACATGTAATAATGTTAACAATTGTAAACTGACATTTCATTGGCAACGTGCCAAATACTGCAGGACTTCAGCTGAAAATAAAATGTAAAACTAAACGAATAAAAAGGAATAAGAAAGCAAGTTCCACTTAACATAAAGAAACCATGTATAAGTTGAAAAAAATGTAGCACTAATTTCATTTCATGACCATACAGGTTTAACATACAACAAAACAAAATAGTTGAACAGACTATAATAAAAACGATGCCATTGGTGCCATTTTCTGCTAAAACATTCTAAGCATTTCTTAAAACTGTAGAGACACTTCATTTCATAAAACCAGTCAGCGACCGTGTCAACAGTTCAAACAAAAATGTTCAATGATAGGAAACAAAATAGCGCACAAATAAGTTTTTAAATAATTCTCACCTGATCACCACAATCATCAAAGGTCAGTTTCTCCCTTTGCGCATGCGTGAGTGTCTGTGTTCCACTGGTGTCCAGACTAATGATGCTCTCACTGCAAGGTCTGACGTATTTCAGATCACTCTTTCTGGAGTCAGTGGTTCTGCAAACCTCATAATTGTACACGTGCTGTAAAGTTCCTGTGCCGCCTACGTCTGCGTAAAGAGGCGGATAATACGGAATAACTGGAAGATTTGCTCCAGATTTATAAAACATCCGCTCGCGCCTCCATCTGTAGCATTTGACTGACAGTATGGCAATGATAGACACGATAAAGAGAAATGAAACCACAGCCAAGGCCAATACCAAATAGAAAGTCAGGTTGTCGTTGTATTCCTTGTCGTGCGTAAAGTCAGTGAACTCCGAGAGCACTTCAGGGAAGCTGTCCGCCACCGCCACGTTAACATTGACTGTAGCTGATCGAGAGGGCTGCCCGTTGTCCTCCACTACAACAGTGAGTCTTTGTTTGACAGCATCTTTATCTGTCACTTGGCGTACAGTTCTTATTTCTCCATTCTGTAAGCCCACTTCAAACAGCGCCCTGTCTGTGGCTTTCTGCAGTTTATATGAGAGCCAGGCGTTCTGACCAGAGTCTACATCAACAGCCACCACTTTAGTCACCAGATAACCCACATCTGCCGATCGAGGCACTATTTCAGCCACCACAGAAACACCTGACTGGACCGGGTACAGAACTTGAGGCGCGTTGTCATTCTGGTCCTGAATGATTATTTTGACGCTCGCGTTGCTGCTGAGAGGAGGAGAGCCTCCGTCCTGCGCTTTTACGCGGAACTGGAAATCTTTGATCTGCTCGTAATCGAAAGATCGCACTGCATGTATGACTCCACTATCAGCACTAACGGACACTAACGAGGAGACGGGCACTCCGTTAACCGACGAGTCCTCCAGTATGTAAGACACACGGGCATTCTGGTGAAAATCTGCGTCTCTGGCTCTGACTGTGAATATGGAAAGACTCGGTGTGTTGTTTTCTTGAACAGAAGCCTCATATGAGCTCTTCTCAAAGACGGGCGCGTTATCATTGACATCTGATATCTGTAAGGAGAGAGTGACGCTGCTGGAGAGAGAGGGCACGCCCTCATCAGCGCACGTCACACTGATGTTATACTCAGACTCTCGCTCTCGGTCTAAATCACTGTCTGTCACTAGACTGAAGAAATTACTATTAGTGGATTTCAGAGAAAATGGAATATTTTCATTAACAGAACACTGAACTTTCCCGTTTCCTTCCGAATCAAGATCCTGAACATTTATCATTGTAACCACGGTCTCAGACGCGGAATTTTCAGCAATCACGTTTGTTTTGGACATTATATTAATCACTGGCTTATTATCATTGATATCAATGACATCAACCACGATTTTACATGAATCAGTCAGACCTCCGTGATCACTTGCCTGAACGCGTATCTCATAGCGTCGAGTTGTTTCATAATCAACTAGACCTATCAATCTTACTTTACCATCAGTGTCGTTTATTTCAAATTTACTACGGACATCATTAGTGTTTGTTATTGTATAGATTATTTCACTGTTTACCCCTTGGTCTTGGTCTGACGCACTAACTGTCGCTACAATTGTTCCTTTTGGTGAATTTTCAGTTACAGTGGCTTTATAAACGGATTGTGTGAAAACAGGAGAGTTATCGTTCGCATCTAAAACAATAATATTTATTTGTATATTACCAGACATTTGTGGATCTCCCCCGTCAATGGCTGTTAACGTTAAAGACATATGCTCCTGCTTTTCGCGGTCTAGAGGCTTTTGTAAAGTCATTTCGATATGATGGTCTCCTCCTGGCTGAATCTTGAATTTCAGTGCAAAATTATCTGTTGGTTTTAACGAGTAGGTCTGAAGACCATTAATTCCAACGTCAAAATCCCTAGCAGGTTCTATCGTGAATTTTGCGCCAATGGACGCAGATTCACTCATTCTAAAACTCATCTCAGTTTTTTCAAAAAATGGTGCATTGTCATTTATATCAAGCACCTCAACATTAACACTGTAAAACTGCATCGGATTTTCCAGAATAATCTGTAAATGCAGCGCGCAAGGCGTTGTCTGTCCGCATAGCGCCTCTCGGTCTATTCTCTCTTTGATAAGGAGGACTCCTCTTTCTTTATTCAGCTCGATGTATTCAGCGCTGTCTCCTGTATAAATACGCGCTTTACCCGATTTCAGTCTCTTTAAATCTAAACCCAAATCCTGCGCTATGTTCCCGACTAAAGAGCCTTTCGCCATTTCTTCAGGAATGGAGTAACTGACCTGCCCGAGAGCTGAACTGAGAGAGAGAAACCAAATAAACAGCAGTACTTGCCGCGCCATTGTTCTGTCCGACATTTTGCAGAAGATCACGGGATGAAGATTAAGACAGAAAGCAAATAAATCAGTCCAAAATGCTGGAGGAAATCATGCATATATCCAGAGTGAAAACAACTAATAAAAAGTCTGTAATCCAAGAGAATTGTATTAATACAGTATCTCCGTGATTCGCCTTCTCTCTCCTCTTCAGACTGCGCTCTCAGCTTCTGTCTCTCTCTCTAATAATATGGAGATGATGGGGGTGGAACTGCAGCAGATCTGCTCTATAAACTGACAGATTGACCAACAGCGGCACTATGAGTCCAGTCTGATGAACTACAGAAACATTTAAATTGTTAAACTTTTCTGTGTCAGATATCTGAGAAAAGCAGTTTACTAAACAAAGTTCTAAAGTATAAGAAAGTACATATCAATACCTGTCTATGAAATACAAAGATTGTATGAGTTTGTGGAAATAAAGATTGAAGGGGAAAAAATTGGACAAATATATTTCGTGTTTGCTCAAAGTTTTGCTGAGGCCATATCAGTATAAGAACACTGATCAGACAGCATGGATAAATACCTAAACAATTACACACATAAGAAATATCCAATCAGAAAGTAAATATATCGTTAAACTTTTGAACAGGAGGAGAGACCAATAAGATGATGAAAAACTCGAAACATTATTAGCTGTAAAGAGATGTAGAAGAATATATGATGTAAATGACCGCGTCGCCGCGATTCAGGACCATGGCCAGGGCAGCAAATACAAACGCTGAATATAGTTTCTCATCTCTTGACAAAAACAAGTGAAAATCACGCAGGGATTTTTTTTTTAAAATGGCAAAAAATGAACTGTGAATGACACATGTAATAATGTTAACAATTGCTAACAGACATTTCAGCGGCACCGTGCCAAATACTGCAGGACTTCAGCTGAAAATAAAATGTAAAACTAAACGAATAAAAAGGAATAAAAAAGCAAGTTCCACTTAACATAACAAAGAAAAGAAACCATGTATAAGCTGAAAAAATGTAGCACTAATTTCCTTTCATGGCCATACAGGTGTAACATACAATAGTTGAACAGACTATAATAAAAACGGATGAAAATACGACAGCAGATGATTGGTACCATTTCCTGCTAAAATATTTTAAACATTTCTTAAAACTGTAGATACACTTAATTTCATAAAACCAGTCAGCGACCGTGTCAACAGTTCAAGCTAAGATTTTCAATAATAAGAAACAAAATAGCGCTCAAATAAGTTTTTTAATAATTCTCACCTGATCACCACAATCATCCAAGGTCAGTCTCCCCCTTTGCGCATGCGTGAGTGTCTGTGTTCCACTGGTGTCCAGACTAATGATGCTCTCACTGCAAGGTCTGACGTATTTCAGATCACTCTTTCTGGAGTCAGTGGTTCTGCAAACCTCATAATTGTACACGTGCTGTAAAGTTCCTGTGCCGCCTACGTCTGCGTAAAGAGGCGGATAATACGGAATAACTGGAAGATTCGCTCCAGATTTATAAAACATCCGCTCGCGCCTCCATCTGTAGCATTTGACTGACAGTATGGCAATGATAGACACGATAAAGAGAAATGAAACCACAGCCAAGGCCAATACCAAATAGAAAGTCAGGTTGTCGTTGTATTCCTTGTCGTGCGTAAAGTCAGTGAACTCCGAGAGCACTTCAGGGAAGCTGTCCGCCACCGCCACGTTAACATTGACTGTAGCTGATCGAGAGGGCTGCCCGTTGTCCTCCACTACAACAGTGAGTCTTTGTTTGACAGCATCTTTATCTGTCACTTGGCGTACAGTTCTTATTTCTCCATTCTGTAAGCCCACTTCAAACAGCGCCCTGTCTGTGGCTTTCTGCAGTTTATATGAGAGCCAGGCGTTCTGACCAGAGTCCACATCAACAGCCACCACTTTAGTCACCAGATAACCCACATCTGCCGAACGAGGCACTATTTCAGCCACCACAGAAACACCTGACTGGACCGGGTACAGAACCTGAGGCGCGTTGTCATTCTGGTCCTGAATGATTATTTTGACGCTCGCGTTGCTGCTGAGGGGAGGAGAGCCTCCGTCCTGCGCTTTTACGCGGAACTGGAAATCTTTGATCTGCTCGTAATCGAAAGATCGCACTGCATGTATGACTCCACTATCAGCACTAACGGACACTAACGAGGAGACGGGCACTCCGTTAACCGACGAGTCCTCCAGTATGTAAGACACACGGGCATTCTGGTGAAAATCTGCGTCTCTGGCTCTGACTGTGAATATGGAAAGACCCGGTGTGTTGTTTTCTTGAACAGAAGCCTCATATGAGCTCTTCTCAAAGACGGGCGCGTTATCATTAACATCTGATATCTGTAAGGAGAGAGTGACGCTGCTGGAGAGAGAGGGCACGCCCTCATCAGCGCACGTCACACTGATGTTATAATCAGACTCTCGCTCTCGATCTAAATTACTGTCTGTCACTAGACTGAAGAAATTGCTATTTGTTGATTTTAGCGTAAAAGGGATATTATCGTTAATGGAGCATTGAACCTTTCCATTTTCACCAGAATCGGAGTCTTGGACATTCAGCATAGTCACAACAGTGCCTGATTTTGAATTCTCGGAAAGAGTACTTGCCTTTGACATTATATTAATTACTGGTTTGTTGTCATTTACATCTATTATATCAACAATTACTTTGCAAGTATCAGAGTGGCGTCCGGGGTCTCGCGCTTGGACGTCAATTTGATAATGTTTCACTCTTTCATAATCAGTGTCGCCAGATAACCTCAACACTCCCTCATTTTTGTCTATTTCAAAGTGGTTAGTGCCACCAGAAGATTTCGCAATATGATACTCTATTTTACCATTTTGTCCCTGGTCAGCATCCGATGCTTTAACTGTAGTTAAAACTGTACCTTTTGGAGAGTTTTCTGCAATGCTGGTCTTATAAACAGACAGAAAACAAACTGGAGCGTTATCATTTGCGTCCTCAACTGTGATTATAATCGGAATTGTTCCAGACATCTGTGGGTCTCCTCCGTCCACGGCAGTGAGTAACAGCGAAATATGTTCCTGTTTTTCTCGATCTAGAGGTTTTTGTAGTATCATTTCAACATTTTTAGTGCCATCTGGCATATCTTGAATCTTTAAAATAAAATGTTCAGCGGGATGTAAGAAATAACTCTGCACGCCATTAAACCCAACGTCATCATCCACTGCTGTCTCTAAAACAAATTTAGCTCCTGTCGGAGATGATTCGCTAATGTCAAATTTAATCTCTTTAACTGCAAAAACCGGAGCATTATCATTTACGTCTAAAATCTCAACTGTAACACTATAAAACTCCATAGGATTTTCCAAGGTAATCTGTAAATGCAGCGCGCAAGGCGTTGTCTGTCCGCATAGCGCCTCTCGGTCTATTCTCTCTTTGATAAGGAGGACTCCTCTTTCTTTATTCAGCTCGATGTATTCAGCGCTGTCTCCTGTATAAATACGCGCTTTACCCGATTTCAGTCTCTTTAAATCTAAACCCAAATCCTGCGCTATGTTCCCGACTAAAGAGCCTTTCGCCATTTCTTCAGGAATGGAGTAACTGACCTGCCCGAGAGCTGAACTGAGAGAGAGAAACCAAATAAACAGCAGTACTTGCCGCGCCATTGTTCTGTCCGACATTTTGCAGAAGATCACGGGATGAAGATTAAGACAGAAAGCAAATAAATCAATCCAAAATGCTGGAGGAAATCATGTATATGTCCAAAGTGAAAAGAACAAGAAAAGTCTGTAAATCCAAGAGAAGGATATTAAATACAGTATCTCCGTGATTCTCCTTCTCTCTCCTCTTCAGACTGCGCTCTCAGCTTCTGTCTCTCTCTCTAATAATATGGAGATGATGGGGGTGGAACTGCAGCAGATCTGCTCTATAAACTGACAGATTGACCAACAGCGGCACTATGAGTCCAGTCTGATGAACTACAGAAAATTTAAAATTACTAAACCTTTATTCTCAATGTCAGACATGCTTGAGAAAAGCAATGTTCTGAACAAAGATCTGGGGTATAAAACCAGCAAATGTCTATCACAATACAAATATCTATAAAACACAAGGATTGTAGTAGTTTTTAAAAAATAAAAATTAAAAGAAAAGACTGAAACAAATACAAAATTACTTGGTCAATCAGTGTTTTGATCTGGCTTGTGTCCACTGATCAGAGAGACAGAGAGAAAAATCTAATATGCATAAAACATATCTGAAAACAAATGAGTGTATAGTTTAACATTGAAGAGGAGAACAGAAAGAAAAGCTGCTAAAAAAAAAAAGATCTGTGGTAAAAGATGCATCAGAATAAATGAGGTAAATGACCGCCTCAATGCATTTCAGGACCATGGCCAGCGAAGCGGACTATAGTGTTTCTCACTTCATAACAAAGTCAAGCAAAAAGACAAGCAAAGCTGTGCAAGGAAAATGTTACAATGGTAAATAACAAATGGAATATGTCACAGCAGGTTAATTAGTTTTAAGTGGACATTGAATCAGACTATAGCAGCAATAGTGTCTCATATTTTAATTAAATTAAAATGTACTTCCATTTAATGTAGCCTATCTAAAGAAATAACAACAACAAAGATAATAATAATAATAATAATAAAGCTTTATTTTATTGGCTGTAAAAATAGGTGATGTAAGTATGGCGAGACTATTTTGGCAATATAACTGCAGAAAATATAAATTATTTGATCAAAATACAACATTATGTAATTATCAATCTCTAAGATTAGCACAACCAATTAAATTCGCAAAACTAAGCAGGGACTCTGTCAGCAGTTCAAATACAAATAAAGACATCAATTATGAAAAAATAACGACCAATTTACAATAATTCTCACCTGATCATCACATTCATCAAAGGCCAGTCTCTCCCTTTGCGCATGCGTGAGTGTCTGTGTTCCACTGGTGTCCAGACTAATGATGCTCTCACTGCAAGGTCTGACGTATTTCAGATCACTCTTTCTGGAGTCAGTGGTTCTGCAAACCTCATAATTGTACACGTGCTGTAAAGTTCCTGTGCCGCCTACGTCTGCGTAAAGAGGCGGATAATACGGAATAACTGGAAGATTCGCTCCAGATTTATAAAACATTCGCTCACGTCTCCATCTGTAGCATTTGACTGACAGTATGGCAATGATAGACACGATAAAGAGAAATGAAACCACAGCCAAGGCCAAGACTAGATAGAAAGTCAGGTTGTCGTTGTATTCCTTGTCGTGCGTAAAGTCAGTGAACTCCGAGAGCACTTCAGGGAAGCTGTCCGCCACCGCCACGTTAACATTGACTGTAGCTGATCGAGAGGGCTGCCCGTTGTCCTCCACTACAACAGTGAGTCTTTGTTTGACAGCATCTTTATCTGTCACTTGGCGTACAGTTCTTATTTCTCCATTCTGTAAGCCCACTTCAAACAGCGCCCTGTCTGTGGCTTTCTGCAGTTTATATGAGAGCCAGGCGTTCTGACCAGAGTCCACATCAACAGCCACCACTTTAGTCACCAGATAACCCACATCTGCCGAACGAGGCACTATTTCAGCCACCACAGAAACACCTGACTGGACCGGGTACAGAACCTGAGGCGCGTTGTCATTCTGGTCCTGAATGATTATTTTGACGCTCGCGTTGCTGCTGAGAGGAGGAGAGCCTCCGTCCTGCGCTTTTACGCGGAACTGGAAATCTTTGATCTGCTCGTAATCGAAAGATCGCACTGCATGTATGACTCCACTATCAGCACTAACGGACACTAACGAGGAGACGGGCACTCCGTTAACCGACGAGTCCTCCAGTATGTAAGACACACGGGCATTCTGGTGAAAATCTGCGTCTCTGGCTCTGACTGTGAATATGGAAAGACCCGGTGTGTTGTTTTCTTGAACAGAAGCCTCATATGATCTCTTCTCAAAGACGGGCGCGTTATCATTGACATCTGATATCTGTAAGGAGAGAGTGACGCTGCTGGAGAGAGAGGGCACGCCCTCATCAGCGCACGTCACACTGATGTTATACTCAGACTCTCGCTCTCGGTCTAAATCACCATCTGTGACTAAACTAAAGAAATTAGTAGTGGTTGTCCTTAAGGCGAATGGATAATTCTCATTAATAAAGCATTGCACTTTGCCATTGTCATTAGAATCGACGTCTTGCGTGTTGATAACAGTAACAACAGTGTCAGGCTTAGAATCCTCTGATAACATAGCTGACTTTGACATTATATTGATGACCGGCTTGTTATCATTGACATCTAAAACGTCGATAATTATTTTACTTGAATCTGTTAGACCACCACGATCACTCGCTCTAACATTTATCTGAAAATGTCTGGCTTTTTCATAATCGATATCACCAATTATTCTCAATTCGCCAGTGTGTCTGTTTATTTCAAACATTTCAGGCACACCGTCGTGAGTATTGGTAACTGAATAAATAATTTCACCATTTGAGCTCTGATCCGCATCAGAGGCTTCAACTCTATTGACAACTGTCCCTTTCGGCGAATTCTCTACGACAGTGGCTTTGTATACAGAATGGGTGAAAACAGGCGCGTTGTCATTAACATCAAGTACTTTTATACGAATCTGTGTTGTTCCAGATAGATGTGGATCGCCTCCATCAACCGCTGTCAAAACTAAAGCAATATCTTCCTGATTCTCTCGACCCACTGAGCAAGCGACGTCTGTGGACATACAAAACAGGTTGATATCACGTCCGTCCGTCCAGGCCATAATCTGAACGTCCATTGACATCCAGAATTAGTTGATTAATGACAATGAGAAATTATGTCCAATCTGGCTATAATCTAAACGTCCACTGACAGCCAGAACTAGTTGAGAAAAGACGTTCATACTGGCTATAATCTGGACGTCCGGTGACATCCAGAATTAGTCGATGAATGACTTAAAAAAATATGTCCAATCTGGCCATAATCTAAACGTCCACTGACAGCCAGAACTAGTTGAGAAAAGACGTTCATACTGACTATAATCTGGACGTCCGTTGACATCCAGAAATAGTCCATAAATGACGTGAATAAAGATATCCAATCTGGCCATTATCTAAACGTCCACTGACAGCCAGAACTAGTTGAGAAAAGACGTTCATACTGACTATAATCTGGACGTCCGTTGACATCCAGAAATGGTCCATAAATGACGTGAATAAAGATGTCCAATCTGGCCATTATCTAAACGTCCACTGACAGCCAGAACTAGTTGAGAAAAGACGTTCATACTGACTATAATCTGGACGTCCGTTGACATCCAGAAATGGTCCATAAATGACGTGAATAAAGATGTCCAATCTGGCCATTATCTAAACGTCCACTGACAGCCAGAACTAGTTGAGAAAAGACGTTCATACTGACTATAATCTGGACGTCCGTTGACATCCAGAAATGGTCCATAAATGACGTGAATAAAGATGTCCAATCTGGCCATTATCTAAACGTCCACTGACAGCCAGAACTAGTTGAGAAAAGACGTTCATACTGACTATAATCTGGACGTCCGTTGACATCCAGAAATGGTCCATAAATGACGTGAATAAAGATGTCCAATCTGGCCATTATCTAAACGTCCACTGACAGCCAGAACTAGTTGAGAAAAGACGTTCATACTGACTATAATCTGGACGTCCGTTGACATCCAGAAATGGTCCATAAATGACGTGAATAAAGATGTCCAATCTGGCCATTATCTAAACGTCCACTGACAGCCAGAACTAGTTGAGAAAAGACGTTCATACTGACTATAATCTGGACGTCCGTTGACATCCAGAAATAGTCCATAAATGACGTGAATAAAGATGTCCAATCTGGCCATTATCTAAACGTCCACTGACAGCCAGAACTAGTTGAGAAAAGACGTTCATACTGACTATAATCTGGACGTCCGTTGACATCCAGAAATGGTCCATAAATGACGTGAATAAAGATGTCCAATCTGGCCATTATCTAAACGTCCACTGACAGCCAGAACTAGTTGAGAAAAGACGTTCATACTGACTATAATCTGGACGTCCGTTGACATCCAGAAATGGTCCATAAATGACGTGAATAAAGATGTCCAATCTGGCCATTATCTAAACGTCCACTGACAGCCAGAACTAGTTGAGAAAAGACGTTCATACTGACTATAATCTGGACGTCCGTTGACATCCAGAAATGGTCCATAAATGACGTGAATAAAGATGTCCAATCTGGCCATTATCTAAACGTCCACTGACAGCCAGAACTAGTTGAGAAAAGACGTTCATACTGACTATAATCTGGACGTCCGTTGACATCCAGAAATGGTCCATAAATGACGTGAATAAAGATGTCCAATCTGGCCATTATCTAAACGTCCACTGACAGCCAGAACTAGTTGAGAAAAGACGTTCATACTGACTATAATCTGGACGTCCGTTGACATCCAGAAATAGTCCATAAATGACGTGAATAAAGATGTCCAATCTGGCCATTATCTAAACGTCCACTGACAGCCAGAACTAGTTGAGAAAAGACGTTCATACTGACTATAATCTGGACGTCCGTTGACATCCAGAAATGGTCCATAAATGACGTGAATAAAGATGTCCAATCTGGCCATTATCTAAACGTCCACTGACAGCCAGAACTAGTTGAGAAAAGACGTTCATACTGACTATAATCTGGACGTCCGTTGACATCCAGAAACAGTCAATAAATTACGTAAATAAAAGATGTCCAATCTGGCCATTATCTAAACGTCCACTGACAGCCAGAACTAGTTCAGAACAGATGTTCATACTGCACTGTAAAAAAAAATATCCTAATTTTACAGTAAATAACTTCCTATGTTCATCATTGTGGTTGCGTTCATGTGTGTTCAATTCGTAAATACGATCTTTATGACATGTCTTGAATGCATCAATAGCTCTATTTTAGGGACAATCCTTACAAACAATCATTGCTAAAATACATTACAGACTGTCACAGTGAGAAGATCTTTGTCCTTTATAAATGCTAAAGACCTAACCACTGCAGTCAACACCTTGGAGTATCCATGCTGTTAAATAAAAGTCTGTAGACAAGGGTTAAGGTTAGGGTTAACCCCTTAATTTCTAACCCCCGGTTTCACAGACAGGGTTTAGATATAAAGCCAGGATTAGGCCTTAGTTAAATTTGGGCATTCAATTATAGCTTTTAAAAATGTACCTTAGAAGAAAAAAACATTGATTTTTGTAAGACCATCTCAACTATTTTTCTACCATCTGCCTGACTGTGCAGCTTTAATGAAAAATGATCGCTCAGTGAAAGCATGTAGCTTTGAATAGCATTGGTCCCGACATCTTGGTCGACGGCTTGCTCTATATCAAATTTAGCCCCATTTACAGCAGATTCACTTATTTCAAAATAGGTATCTGGCTTGTTGAAATAAGGAGCATTGTCATTTATATCGGTTACCTCGACAGTGACATGGTAAAATTCTATTGGATTTTCCAAAATAATCTGAAAATGCAGCGCACAAGGCGTTGTCTGTCCGCATAGCGCCTCTCGGTCTATTCTCTCTTTGATAAGGAGGACTCCTCTTTCTTTATTCAGCTCGATGTATTCAGCGCTGTCTCCTGTATAAATACGCGCTTTACCCGATTTCAGTCTCTTTAAATCTAAACCCAAATCCTGCGCTATGTTCCCGACTAAAGAGCCTTTCGCCATTTCTTCAGGAATGGAGTAACTGACCTGCCCGAGAGCTGAACTGAGAGAGAGAAACCAAATAAACAGCAGTACTTGCCGCGCCATTGTTCTGTCCGACATTTTGCAGAAGATCACGGGATGAAGATTAAGACAGAAAGCAAATAAATCAGTCCAAAATGCTGGAGGAAATCATGAATATGTCCAAAGTGAAAAGAACATGAAAAGTCTGTAAATCCAAGAGAAGGATATTAAATACAGTATCTCTGTGATTCTCCTTCTCTCTCCTCTTCAGACTGCGCTCTCAGCTTCTGTCTCTCTCTCTAATAATATGGAGATGATGGGGGTGGAACTGCAGCAGATCTGCTCTATAAACTGACAGATTGACCAACAGCGGCACTATGAGTCCAGTCTGATGAACTACAGAAAAATTAAAATGGATAAACTTTTATCTCAGTATCAGATGTATCTGAGAAAAGCAGTTTACTAAACAAAGTTCTAAAGTATAAAAATGTCCATATCAATAAATGTCTATGAGATTCAAAGAGTGTATGAGTTCGTGTAAATAAAGTTTGAAGGGGGAAACAATAAACAAATGCATTTCGAGTTTGCTCAAAGTTTTGCTGAGGCCATATCAGTACATGAGCATGAACAGACAGACATGGAGAAATACCTTAAATACAATTATACACATAAGAAATATCTAATCAGTGATCAAATAGTATATCGTTTAACTTTTGAACAGGAGGACAGAACAATAAGATGCTAAAAATCTCAAAAAGACGGTCTGCTGTAAAGAGATGCAGAAGAATATATGAAGTAAATGACCGCGTCGCCGCGATTCAGGACCATGGCCAGGGAAGCGAATGTAAACACTGAATAGTTTCTCACCTCTTGACAAAAACAAATGAAAAAGGAAAATTTTAAAAATGACAAACAACGAACTGTGAATGCCACAGTATAATCATGTTAACAAATGTTAACTGACATTTCAGTGGCAGCGTGCCATACCGCAGTACAACTGAAAATAAAATTTAAAATTAAACGAATAAAAAAGGAATAAATTACACAAGACAAAAAATAATTTATAAGCTGAAAAAATAAGCACTCATTAGCTTTCATGGCTGTACAGAAAATATGAACTAAATAAGTATAACAAAAAACATTTGATCAGACTTTAAACTGATAAAAATACAACACCCGATGATTCGTGCCATTCTGTGCAACATTATTTAAACATTTCTTAAAATTGCGGACACTTCATAAAAAAAAAGAAAAAAAGTCAGCGACCGTGTCAGCAGTTCGAGCAAAAATGTTCAGTCATGAGAAACGTTTTAAAATGTCACATAAATTAGTTAGAAATATAATTCTCACCTGATCATCACAATCATCAAAGGCCAGTCTCTCCCTTTGCGCATGCGTGAGTGTCTGTGTTCCACTGGTGTCCAGACTAATGATGCTCTCACTGCAAGGTCTGACGTATTTCAGATCACTCTTTCTGGAGTCAGTGGTTCTGCAAACCTCATAATTGTACACGTGCTGTAAAGTTCCTGTGCCGCCTACGTCTGCGTAAAGAGGCGGATAATACGGAATAACTGGAAGATTCGCTCCAGATTTATAAAACATCCGCTCGCGTCTCCATCTGTAGCATTTGACTGACAGTATGGCAATGATAGACACGATAAAGAGAAATGAAACCACAGCCAAGGCCAAGACCAGATAGAAAGTCAGGTTGTCGTTGTATTCCTTGTCATGCGTAAAGTCAGTGAACTCCGAGAGCACTTCAGGGAAGCTGTCCGCCACCGCCACGTTAACATTGACTGTAGCTGATCGAGAGGGCTGCCCGTTGTCCTCCACTACAACAGTGAGTCTTTGTTTGACAGCATCTTTATCTGTCACTTGGCGTACAGTTCTTATTTCTCCATTCTGTAAGCCCACTTCAAACAGCGCCCTGTCTGTGGCTTTCTGCAGTTTATATGAGAGCCAGGCGTTCTGACCAGAGTCCACATCAACAGCCACCACTTTAGTCACCAGATAACCCACATCTGCCGATCGAGGCACTATTTCAGCCACCACAGAAACACCTGACTGGACCGGGTACAGAACCTGAGGCGCGTTGTCATTCTGGTCCTGAATGATGATTTTCACGCTCGCGTTGCTGCTGAGAGGAGGAGAGCCTCCGTCCTGCGCTTTTACGCGGAACTGGAAATCTTTGATCTGCTCGTAATCGAAAGATCGCACTGCATGTATGACTCCACTATCAGCACTAACGGACACTAACGAGGAGACGGGCACTCCGTTAACCGACGAGTCCTCCAGTATGTAAGACAAACGGGCATTCTGGTTAAAATCTGCGTCTCTGGCTCTGACTGTGAATATGGAAAGACCCGGTGTGTTGTTTTCTTGAACAGAAGCCTCATATGAGCTCTTCTCAAAGACTGGCGCGTTATCATTAACATCTGATATCTGTAAGGAGAGAGTGACGCTGCTGGAGAGAGAGGGCACGCCCTCATCAGCGCACGTCACACTGATGTTATACTCAGACTCTCGCTCTCGATCTAAATCACTGTCTGTCACTAGACTGAAGAAATTATTATTTGCTGACTTCAGGGTAAAAGGAATGTTCTCAGTAATTGAACAATCAATTTGACCGTTTTCACCAGCATCAGGGTCTTGCACGTTTATCATTGTTACAACAGTTTCGGGATTAGAGTTTTCTGATATGGTGGTTAATTTAGACATGATATTGATGAGCGGTTTATTGTCATTTATATCAATCACATCTATATCGATTTTACAAGAATCAGTCAGACCCCCATCATCGCTCGCCTGTGCATGAATTTGATAATGCCGAGCTTTTTCATAATCTATATTCCCTGTTACTCTCACCTCACCGTTTATTTCGTTAATTTCAAACAGTTCCAGAACATTGTCGAGGGTATTTGTTATAGCATATTTTACTTTGCCGTTTGAGCCCTCGTCCAAATCTGAAGCGCTCACCGTCGTTACAACTGTGCCTTTGAGGGCGTTTTCAATGATACTCCCTTTATATATTTTATGCGTAAAAACAGGCGCGTTGTCGTTGGCATCTAAAACCGTAATATGTATCTGCGCAGTACCAGACAATTGTGGATCACCTCCATCTATCGCTGTCAGAACTAGAGACAAATGCTCTTGCTTTTCACGATCGAGGGGTTTTTGAAGAACCATTTCTACAAGCTTACTACCGTCTGCCTGACTTTGTAATTTCAATAAAAAATTATCCGAAGGCTTTAGTAAATAAGTCTGTAGGCCGTTTGTTCCGACATCTAAATCAATTGCTCTCTCTAAAACAAACACTGCCCCAGTTACAGCTGACTCGCTGATTCTGAATCTCATCTCAGCCTGTTTAAAGAAAGGCGAATGGTCATTTATATCTGTAACTTCGACTGTAATGGAGTAAAACTCCATTGGGTTTTCCAGAATAATCTGTAAATGCAGCGCACAAGGCGTTGTCTGTCCGCATAGCGCCTCTCGGTCTATTCTCTCTTTGATAAGGAGGACTCCTCTGTCTTTATTCAGCTCGATGTATTCAGCGCTGTCTCCTGTATAAATACGCGCTTTACCCGATTTCAGTCTCTTTAAATCTAAACCCAAATCCTGCGCTATGTTCCCGACTAAAGAGCCTTTCGCCATTTCTTCAGGAATGGAGTAACTGACCTGCCCGAGAGCTGAACTGAGAGAGAGAAACCAAATAAACAGCAGTACTTGCCGCGCCATTGTTCTGTCCGACATTTTGCAGAAGATCACGGGATGAAGATTAAGACAGAAAGCAAATAAATCAGTCCAAAATGCTGGAGGAAATCATGTATATGTCCAAAGTGAAAACATCTAATAAAAAGTCTGTAATCCAATCAAATTGTTTTAATTACAGTATCTCCGTGATTCTCCTTCTCTCTCCTCTTCAGACTGCGCTCTCAGCTTCTGTCTCTCTCTCTAATAATATGGAGATGATGGGGGTGGAACTGCAGTAGATCTGCTCTATGAACTGACAGATTGACCAACAGCGGCACTATGAGTCCAGTCTGATGAACTACAGAAAACATAAAATTACTAAACCTTTATTCTCAATGTCAGACATGTTTGAGAAAAGTTCTTTAGTATAAAATTTCTTAACACCAAAAAATGTCCATAACAACAAATATCTATAATACAAAGATTGTATGTGTTTGTGTTAATGAAGATAAAAAGGGGAAAAATAAATATATTTCGTGTTTTCCTAAAGCCATATCAGTATGAACACTGATCAAGTCAGAGAGGGAGAAATTCCTAAAAATTAATTATACACATAATAAATTTCTAATGAGAAATTAAATTATCTAGTTAAACTTTTGAACAGGAGTACAGACCAAAAAGATGTTGAAAATCTCAAAAGGATTGTGTGCTGTAAAGAGATGCAGAAGAATATATGAAGTAAATGACCGCGTCGCCGCGATTCAGGACCATGGCCAGGGAAGCAAATGCAAACGCTGAATATAGTTTCTCACTTCACAAAAACATGTGAAAATCACGCAAGGAATTTTTTAAATGGCAAATAACAAACTGTGCATGCAACAGGTTAATAATATTAACATTTGTTAACTGACATTTCAGGGGCAACGTGCCACATACTACAGGACTTCAACTGAAAATAAATAAAAACGGAATAAAAAGCAACTTCTACTTAACGTATCAAAAAAGAAAAAAAGAAAATCATTCGGAAGCTAAAAAATAAGCAGTGATTTTCTTTCTTTCATGGCTGTACAGGCAAATTAACTACATAATTACAACACGTCTAAAAACACCAGACCTCTAAAAAGAGAATACATTTTTGAATTACACAACAGCACTAAATGCTAAACTAAAATGTCGCTCAGACTATAATAAACAGATGAAAATAAATAGCAAATGATTCGTTTCATTTCTTATTAAAATGATTTAAACACTTATTAAAATTGCAGACACTTCATTTCAGAAAACCTGTCAGTGACCGTGTCAACAACTCAAGTAAAATTGTTCAATCACGAGAGACATTTTAAAATATCACATAAATTAGTTATAAAAATAATTCTCACCTGATCACCACAACCATAAAAGTTCAGTCTCTCCCTTTGCGCATGGGTGAGAGTCTGTGTTCCACTGGAGTCCAGACTAATGATGCTCTCACTGCAAGGTCTGACGTATTTCAGATCACTCTTTCTGGAGTCAGTGGTTCTGCAAA